CCGTTCGTGCGTGCGTGCGTACTTTGGTGTACGCGCGTGCGATGGTGAGGAGGAGAGGGAGACAAATGTGGATAGCGTTATGGAAATCAGGTGATACTGTTTTGCGTTGCCACGACATTGTAATTCGTTCCGGAAATACATGAAACGTGATTAAGATTGTGATCATTATTTCGTTGTTGATTGATTTATTGAATATTGGGGGTGCTATTGCTATTTTCTGGTCGCTTTTGTTCGATACTACAATACAGCAATTTCTTTGTTAAAATTCAGCCATCGTGAAGCAATTGCGAGTAACTTGAACATTTTTTGAATTATTCTAAATCTAAAATTTGTTATTCAAATCTTGTATTCAAATATTTTTTACTGTAAATAATTCAGTAGAGAAATGATATGTTTTGATCAATCTCCTGAAAATAATTTAATGAAATAAAACAACGTTAATTAATACTTTTAGTACAGTGCATTGTAAATTACATTAGTTCCTATACCTAATATATAGCAATTAAAAGCTTTAATAAATAGTTATTAATTCAGTTATTGTGGCAAATAAGAACTCCACATTCGCAGTTACTTTATAAATCAGTACTTCAATAAGCAATAAAATGTACATTTTATAATAATTTGTGTGACTATACGTCATTACTGTAATAGAAAAAGTATTAAGAATGTGTTACTACTAAAAAATTATAGTATTTTAATGTGGAATTCAAGTAAAATTACTGTTTAAACTTACAGAAATGCTATAAATTTTAAGCAACACTCTTTTACACGAAGAAAGTATTAAAAGAATATTAAACGCTTTAAAATGGTATCACTTCAATTGAAAAGAACTTCTAACAAAATAACGATGGTTTGAAATAGAATTGTCTCTGAAATGTAAGTCTTTGAGCCAATTATAAAATTGGTAACTGTTGTATTTGTACTAATTGTATGTACATAAGTATCAATGAAACTATGTTATTTTAGGAGCAATTAAAGGCTTTTAAACATAAAGTGTAATTAAATGATTTCGCTTAATATTAAAATTATTAGAATTTAATATTAACACCTTTTTGTCAACATTTAATGGTTTCTTTGACTAAACGCCAACTCTAATTTAAATGATCGAAGTGACATTTTTTTTAAATTTAAACTGTCATAAGTTATAAAAATTATTAAATTACACAATATATTTTAATTACTATGTGTCTATGTATTCCTATACTTTATGCAATAATTTCTGTTATTAAAACGTAACGATAATGCAATGGATATAAGCTTTAACTGCAATTTTTAGAATATTAGTAACAATAACGTCTCTAACGCCTCAGGCAAACTATATAAAAAATATTTTTTAATTTTATTTATGTATCGAAACATTATGGAAATTATTTTAAATAAAAATGTTCAATTTCAATGGAGTTATGTTTTTTCAAAATAAACTAATAATGTTTGAGATATTAGACCAAATATGTTTACTACCCCGAAATTTGAGAGCCATTTTCATCCCTTCAATGCGGACGATTGCCGATAAAAAAATACATATGAATTAGTTTCCCGTAAACTATCTCTCATATAAGTTTCATCATAATCGGTGCGCGTCGGTTCGATATGTTCCTTTGTAAGAATTCAAACTTGCAAATACAACAGTGGTAGTAGAACTAATTAAAGAATAAATTCACGAAAAATTAACTATAACGAAAAGCACCACCATTCGTTGAAATTTTATAACCAATTAGTTAAGTGGTTGCCGTGGTATTTGATGAAGAACGAATTGCAACAGTGAACGATTTGCAATTTTTTGTATTCCTGGTATGAAGTGAATCCATTTATCAATCGAATTCTAACATGTAGCACGTAATGAATATAATGTGATAATACTTGACTGCATAAATAATGGTGAAACAAGGTTTGCAAAGACTCACAAAATTTACATGTACATATACACGTACAGCGACAAAATTATATATTTATAAAGAAAATTTTAATCAGTTTGGTAAACAGTACCTGAACTTGTTTTGATCAATTTACTTTCACGTATATAAATCATCTTGGCAAATATCTGCTGTAAGGAAATTGACATAGTCCATTTAAATTTTTTGAAAAGAAAAAGTTTGTATTTCCATTGCATGATAACCTTTCGGTCTCATACCGTTTTTGTAATCCATAAAAAAATAAAAATGTATTAAATGGGAAATTTTGCTATATATGTGATTTTGTTTTATGTCATTTTCATTTATTTTTATCCATACCTAGTTTTTTGATTCTTCAAGATATTGGATAAAATTTAAATTGCAATTTATTCGTTTTTTTAAAAAAAAAATGACAAAATTCATAAAGGGCCTAGCCGAATAAGCATGCTAAAAGTGCCCCCAAACCGAATTGATCTTGGTGCATATCATTCGATAGACCACTTGAAGAAAACCCTTTCTGCCTAGTATCAAGTTGGTACCCTTATTACTAGGGTAGTTACGGGGTGAAACGCAATTTACAGTTTAAGCTCCATTTCTCTTGTTCTGCTCAATGAAAACTTATGAAAAAAATCATGGATATTTTACCCAATGGTGTGCATACTTGTGAATTTTTTCACCAGAGTATGCCAGTCTGCGTTCGAAAGGTTATGAGATATCGGTTTATAATTTTTTTAATTATGATACACTTCTCAAAAAAATCTGAAAAAATTATACATTAATAAGAATAACAGGCTGCTAAAACTGTAGAAAAATGAACATGGTCAACCGAAAAACTAAAATAATAATATAAACGAACATCAGTTTTTGATTTTTCTAGGTGCCGTCCCCCACTTCGAAAAATCTGAAAAAATTACACATTAATATCCATAACAAGACACTAATACTGTAAAAATATAAACGTGGTCATTTGATAATTTCAATATAAAAACAACATTTATAAACTTTCCGAATTTTTTAAAAATCGATTTTGCAGTCAACAATTCTGAAAAAATTCACAGACGTGTATGCCATTGGGTAGCATATCCATGATTTTTTTCATAAGTTTTCATTGAGCAGAACAAGCGAAATGGAGCTTAAACTGTAAATTGCGTTTCACCCTGTAACTACCCTAGTAGTAGGGGTACCAGCTTGATACTTGGCAGAAAGGGTTTTCTTCAAGTGGTCTAACGAATGATATACACCAAGATCAATTCGGTTTGGGGGCACTTTTACCATGCTTATTCGGCTAGGCCCTTTGGGAGTAGAATGGTGAAAAGAGGTTTTAGATTCACTCAGAAGTTGATTTACTTAAAAATCTCGGAAGAAGGTTCTAGATTCAGATGGTGATTAATTCGTTGAACAAAATTAAATCTAATAGAAGTCAAGATTTTTTGAAGTCGGTAGTGTAAAATCTTTTCCAGTACCTAATACTGTTTATATTACGTACATAAGCAATAACATATAGTTATTAATGTTTTCTGTTTATAGAACAATATTAAAATTGTAAAAACTAATATCATATACTTTTAATACTTGTTAGTACTTGTGATATTATATTATTTTAATTATATGATGCGTTACGAACGTTTTCAATATTATTCATCAACTTCTATTTATATTTTGCGTTTTGCACTTCGATATTAACTATATCACGGTATGAATAGTTACTTGGTTTATTCTATACTATGATTGGTTCCATTTTAAAGTTTAATTATATATGTATATACGAATGCACTATATCACGCAGTAATACATATGCGTAACCAATATCTATAGAGTATAGAATATATATTATAGCTTTTCTTATTTCTATATTCTTCCTTATTTCATTGTTCATTGAACTAATTTAACATCATTTTTTTCACAAGTAATAAACAATTTCACGAAATTAATCGGAAGCGTATGAATGACAGGAAAATAAAAGTGACCCCAGAAAAGTAGCGGAAGAGTGTCGCGTACAAAGGAGAATTTTCGGTTTTCATCCACGAGCGAATTTAGCCGCGTATATCCATCGGTGAAGGTGCATACGTGAATAAAATTGTAAGCGTTCTAATAATAACCGTGCTCTTACTTATATGGACGCTTGATTTTAATTCAAGCAAAACCGTCAGCCAGACCTCGTCCTTTTGGTGTGCGGGGTCAGTGATCATCATAATCGAAAAAACACGAGGAGCATCCGAAAACGGTCAAAATCGTCAGCGTATCGCATGGGAAAGATCGTTCCATGTGAACTCCTTGATCTTGAGTTATTTTCGTCGGTATGGTAAAAAGAGTTCGCCTCGCGACGCCATCCTGAGACAGGATGAGGTAGAATAAATCACGATAATAGTCGCATCTATATGTATATGCGGCTTTATATATATATAATGTGTTGTAAGGTAGACGGGGGAGGGGGTTGAACAATTTTTACCGAATGCCATTTGTTGACAAGCAATTAACGAGGCAACTACAAATGCTTCTTTCATTTTATTCAGAAATAATTACTATTTATTAATTCTGAATACGAATGAAGTGTCCATTTAGTAGGAAATGTAAGAAGAAAGGCTAAATATAAGATGCGTAAGGTAACATGCAAATGTATAAAGTGCTTACTTACTATTAGGTTACAAATCCTTTTACGATAGTAGTAGGTACATACAATACAAAGTACAAAGTAGTAGTCTCCAATGTCATCCAACCTTACCAAGGCTTTGTAGTAGGTAATACATGCTCGTTTTGTATTTAGTGGAAAGTTCAGCGCAGAGTACTAAGAAAATAGTTTCCGAGATTATTGACAGGCGCAATTGGATCTGTATTACAAAATTTTGAAATGTACGTTAGTTGGAATATACTGTTTATAAGCAAGGTGGGTTTATACATACATTACCGGCCAAAAGTTTGGAATCACTACGTAAATTAAGAGAAACAGGATATTTCTAAGAAAAATTGAACGCCTACAAAGTAATTGAGGAAGTTTTATTTGTCAAAATACTTATAAGTAGAATATTTTACATCTTATATTATTTTTCGTACGAAGAAATAGATATTTTTCTTTAAATTGCCTTCTCATCAAAAAAACCGCCCTTACTTCTAATGACAGCCTGATATGTTCTGGGCATCCTGGCAATTAGTTTTTCGAGTATTCCTAACTTTAAATTTTTCCATGCTACTTGTAGTAGTTACCAAAGGTGTCCTTTCGATGTTGGACAGTGCAACCGGATATTCCGATCGAGCTCTTCCCACAAAAATTCTATCGGGTTCAAATCCGGTGATTGTGCTGGCCTCTGTTTTTTTTTGCAATAAGAACCCTTTATACAATTTAGATGAGTGCTTAGGGTCGTTATCTTGCTGCATAATAAAATTTCTACCTATTAACTGGTGACCTGATGGTAGAGCGTGCTGCTCGAGTATCTGTTTATAGTCTTCTTTTTTCATTGTATGTTCTATTTTGATTAGGTCTCCTACTCCAACCGTTGAAAAACATCCCCAGATCATAACTGAACCACTACCATGTTTGACAGTAGGTACAATACACTCTGGCAATATTTTTTCTTGTACAGATCGGCGAACAAATATCCTTCGGTGCGACCCAAATATTTCGAACTTGGATTCGTCAGTACAAAGAACCTTACCCCAGTCCGTAGGTGTCCAATTTTTGTGACTTTTTGCCCAATCCAACCGCATTTTACGATTTTTCGACGAAAGCAATGGTTTCCTGACTGCTATACGGCCATTTAAACCTGCAGCTCTTAGTCGCCTTTTCACCGTGGTCAGAGATATTGGATTCGGTCTACTATCATTAAGTCCTACACGAATTTCCGAGGTCGTTAGTCGTCTGTTTCGTTGGTAAATAATATTTATTCTTACATCTTCAGCTCTCGACGTGATTTTGGGTCTTCCTGACCGTGGTTTGTCTTTCAAACTACCAATATCCGCAAAACGTGTTACTGTACCCAGCACACCCTTGTATGACACTTTCAATTTCCTTGCAATATTCCGCAAAGAATAACCTTCCTTTCTAAGTGTGATAATTGCACTTCGAGTTTCAATACTAATTTCTATTCTTTTTGCCATTTTAAAGTATTAATGTAAAATTTTAGCTTCTGATCACGTTTCAACACCATCGTTCACGAGAATGGTGGCAATGTATAACAAATGTCCGATTTATACATTTTCTCGGCCCCCGGACCAGCCAATTGGAATCTAATATTGTAACATTCGACGCTTATTGGTAAACAAAAGAATCGCGAATTCCTATATAAGGCGAAAACAGAGTATCTTTCCCGGCAGTAGAAAAGTTCATTCCGAGCGTTGCCTTAAACTGAGTGCATGAATTATACATATAATAGTATTACGAACATAAGAAAATGCTGAAATCTCTTAAAGTATAATTGAATTTACTATACATAAATGAACATACACTAGTGTATGTACCTTCTGTCCTACATGTATCTCCTATTAGCGCGAAAACGTTCTCGCGAGACATTCGTTATTAATGTGGCAGCACTTACGGAACACGATACCGTCTATTATGTTTCTTTTTAATAACGCCACTGGGTGTCTTTTGTCGCGTCCCATCAGCCCCTTGCTCCTCTTATCTCCTGCCACTGTTATATCCATGGTATTACCTCCCTCTTTTCGTCCATTCTTTCCCCGGTCTCGAGTTTCAGTCGCGAAAAATTCACCGAAAGATCCCCTTACGCCGCGTCGTAGATGTTTCATTAATACTCTCCGCCTCGTCTTCTCTTGCAAGGATGTGCTTGCAGAGAAGTGGCATAATTTTTTTACATCAAGCGAAATTTGAGATCTAGAGATAGCGAAATACGTGACAGTATCATGGTTTGGAAAGTAATTGGAGTGCGAAAATTGGTTATTTTTTTTTTCAGCATTCCTAGGTTCGCTGTACTTAGGCATCAAGAGAGAGGAAAATATGCGACGGTATTACGTTTTGGAAAGTATTATTGGAGATTGAAAATTGGCTGTTCTTTATTTTAATGTTTCTAAGTTCTTTATGTTTATAATTAGTTTTAAAGTGCACTGTGCGTTGGTTTATTTTGTTAGCTGAGGTTAGAAGAATGGATTGAAAGGGAAATGGAGAAATACTTCGTTACCAGTTATATTAACTAATATAAGGGTTGATGAAATTATAAATCTGTATAGTATTTTGTGATTTTGCAGAATGTTACCATTTTAGTGGGATTTTATGGCTCTGCGTTAACTCTTTCACTGCTGTTGACGCCTATAGGCGTTTTTGACACATTGTACCTTCTAATCCTTAATTTTTCTTTTTTGCGCGTTTCCACCTTAATTTACTAAAATAAATTTAAAAACGATGAATTATGAATTAAAAGTTTTATAAAAATTTGAAGATGCCAAAACGAAAGGTTCTGAAAACCTTTATCGTCTGCCACGCGTGTTACATACTAAAATCTGCTGTAGCGAAGCAGTTAATATTCTACGAATATTATCTCACTGTATTAATATTTTATAATAGTATCGAATATGTGTCTCTATTATTTGTGACGCTGAGGAACATCAATATTTTACGACCATTTTGTGACTCTATATAACATTACTATTTTATGACTTCCCAGAATATTAGCATTTTACTGCTACTTTGTAGCTCTCTGAAGTATTGTAACAAAAGTGCCATGTAATGTGTTTCTTGAATTCGTCTCAACGTTAAATTTAAATAATAATATGATTACATTTCTTGAAGTTCTACCTATAAAATGAGCTCTTTTGCAGGGTGGAGACTTTAAAATTACCTCACAAGGAGCTGGAAAAGAATTGGTGTATCCCCGCTTTAGATAAGCGAACCGCGCGCTCTGCTATTTTTCAGTATTATAAAATCAATTTTTCAAACAACAAAAATATTATTACAATAGGGCAATTCTTCTAGATAGAAACAAAAAAACTAAGCTTAATTCGATCAATAGTTTCTGAGATAAAAATTGATAGATACAGCCCCTTTTCATAAAAATGGGCAAAAATTGGCAAATTCAAGGGTTCGTATTTTTTAAACAGATTCGAAACCAGCTAAACGATGACTTAAACCCCCCCTAATTTCACGTGTACTACATTATATTTCATTTAGAACAAAATCCCTGGTGTCGACATCAAAAAGTGATTAATTTGACGTGGAACGACTCATAGTCTCTGTTTCCCTGTAATAATCCTGTAAAACAATTTGTATACACATATGTGCAACGGTTTGGCAAAATTAATACAAGAATAAAATGTAAGAACCGATTTTGAACCGATATAGGGTCGATATATGTATAATAGAATCGATATACATAGAACCGGTGTGAAATCGATATTCCAAAAGCTAGTGGAACCGGAACCGGAACAGATATAAGTGAGGACCTTTTTTGTCATAACATCATTTCGGTTCTTTATATTTTTTTTAGAAAAAAGTTTTATGCAACAGTTCTTAATAGGTATTTCTGGAACCGTATCAAGTCCTATTTATAAGTTTCATGTATGTATACATAATGAATGAACCTGTGTGTTAAGAGCCCCATATGCTTTGAAATCTGTATTAATACATGTATAAATATCGAATAAATATATCGAATAAATATCTCGATAGATGTTCCTGAGAGTTGTGTCAAGTACCAAGCAACAAATTTTTCGTTATCTATGTATATCAAATGGTCTGTGACAGACTGAGCGCGAGCACTTCAATGTGGTTGATTTTGTGGATTCAACATCCTCTAGGGCAGGCGTGTCCAACCTGCGGCCCGCGGGCCGCAATGTGGCCCTGAACAGCACAATATCGTAAACTTTGAACATTATTGTGTGATTTTTAGCGACATTTTTCACGACTCAATTGCATTATAATAAAAAATATTAAAAAATAAAGGAGGTTTTGTTACTTATGTACGATTAACTGTATTATATATTTCGTATGGCCCAAGCAAATCGAAAGGTTGGACACCCATGCTCTAGGGGTTCACTGGCACAAGCTTTATACTGTCGCACAAGTATACCGTTTAGGTAAGGGATTTAATATGTCAAAGGACACGATTTGCAAGATACAGAGTTTTAATATTGAATCAAGGTTTGCTGGTTGTACAGAGACTGATTTAAAATGGTAATTGTTTTCCTATACATAACATATGGCCTAAAGGTGGAGGGGTTGATAATTAATTGTAAGGGTACAAAGGTTTGGGCTGATTTGTTCGAGTGAGCAATACGCGAGAAAGTTGAGAAAAAGAAGGGATGAGTGTTCGGGTGAACAATCCCTAAAAACTAGCGAAAAACAAGGTGACTAAGGTTTGAAATTAGGTTAGCTATCACAGGCCACACTAATGAAGGTATTCGTATCAGTTGCACGCTCGAGTGATATAGACGGAGATATCAGTTGATACTGATACATCGATACCAAGGCAGTCAAATACATGTTGAGATTTGTATCGCGATACAGATACTTGCAACATGTATCAATACAGATTTCAATGTATGTATAGGGACCTTAAGGATGTAGTCCGCTCCTGAACTGATACAGTGAGTGAAAAAAAGGTAGCACAACTTACATTTTTGCATATTTTACGAAATTAGAAAAGTAAAACGAATAAAAATGTGTTTTCAGCACTATACAGTGTGAGTTACGCAATTGGGACGGATTAAATCTCGAGTCTGGTTAGAGATAGAAAAAGTTGTAGAGAAAAATGTTGAATGATATAGGAAGGCCTACTTTCTTACGTCTTCACTTTTTTATAAGTACAACGATGTACCTACAAAATGCAAATGCACCCTTCTTTTAAATGGAGCTGCATATTTTTTTACGTAGATCAATTCTTCAGAACATTTCGCGTAAAAAAGTATTGGAATAAGGTATTAGAAAGGTGAATACATCACAAGATATTTCAAATTTTTGATAAGATGTATGTTTGGTTGAAGATGTGACAATGGAACGTTCGAATACCCTGAATAAAACATAGGCACGTCTAATAAAAAATTTGAAATATTTCACGACGATTCACCTTCCTAATATCTCACTCTAATACTTTTTGCTCGTGGCATATTTTGAAAAATCGATTAACAAAAAAAAAAATGCAGTTCCATTTAAAAGAAGGGTGCATTTACATTTTGTAGGCTTATCGTTGTACTTATGAAAAAAGTGAAAACGTAAGAAAGTAGGCCTTTCTATACCATTCAACATTTTCCTCTGCAACTTTTTTCTATCTCTAACCAAACTCAAGATATAATCCGTCTCTATTGTGTAACTCATCCTGTATATGAGTACAGTGTTGATCCGTAATAAGCCACTGCCGTCTGACTCGTAATATGCAACTCCCTAACTCCTCTTCTTTATTTGAAGTCGGCCGCCGAGTGAAAGGTCCGAGAACGAATGAGAAAGTCGAATGAACAGTGACGTCGATTAGTAAAAGAAAAAGAGATTATGTATAATGCTTTCTGACTCTGGTATTAACAATCCTGGGGTGTTATACATATCTCGTGCTTCTCGCTCGCTTTCTATGTTCTCTCGTCTCGTTCGAGAACGAAGTCAAGCCGAATAGTATACTGAATCGTAATAAACAACTGGCTGGTTCTAAGCGAGTTGCTTATTACGGGTCAAAACTGTGCATACATTTATACGTACAGATAGTGTTTGCCGCCTTGAGAAGGACTTTTGGAGCGCCTCGGAAATTGTATCCTATATCTCCGTTCAACAAGATAATCTACACAACTAGCTAGTCACCGCCTCGAGACGGGCGATGGAAAAATCCAGCTACGCCGCTGAGCGTTTTCAGCGGATGAGCCCTTTCGTTACATTGTCAGTCAAACCGAGCAAATACCCCAAACGCGACGTCAACTGCCACCGCATCCACGGGAAGGGGACTCACCAGTGCACGCAAGCACTGCGCTCTGATCCTATTAAAGGCGAAAGGAAAAATAGGGAAGGGTGGTGACTGGGATGGAATGGGATGGTGATGGGGAAAGGTAGTTTGTTTGGGGCACCCTGTCGGGGTTGCCCAAGCTCCGGATGGTGGGGTCGCTAATCCCAACGGTGCACAGACAACCGCCCTTGCCATTGCTGTATAAGAGCCATTCGGTCCGATGACACCGACCCGCAGCTTGCAGTGATAAAAAGCTCAGGACCCGGAGGTTCGCTAGGCCCCGGGTGCCCTCAGACCCCCCTGCGGGAACATTTATACGTACAGTGTTCCCTGAATCAGTGTAACGTCTTTCGTCCCGGATCGGTATAACATTTGTATCCTCACTATATACATCCTCACATCGCTTTGCCAGAAAACCTGACCAATGCTCTATCTCGTTCCTTCTCAGAGTATTTTTACTCAAGTGACGCTCATAAACGTTGTGCTCGAGAAGGTGGTGACAACTTCCCTTACCCTGGTTTAGTATACATTCTCGGTCATCCAACGCTGTTACACTGATCTGGGTAACACTGTAGATTGCAAGTACATTTTGTTAAGAATGTGTCGGTATTTAAGTTGACGCTTTGAATTTTTGGTAATGATTGCGAATAGGGTCCTCAACACCGATTTCAATGACCTTGAAATATGTTGTCAAGGTCAACATTTTGAACAACTTTTCCTTATACATATGTACATGTTACCGCAAGACTCCTTTAGTTTTCGAGATATTAGTAAAATTATATAGTAATTGTGCAGTTCAGTGCCTTTTTCTAATTATGCTTATTTCATTCTACTCTTTTTTTAAACCTTGAAATATGTTGTCAAGGATGTCATTTTGTTTCTATAAGCAACAATATAACAATATATGAACTTAACCGATTTCAATGATTTTGAATTTGAACATGTATGGCTGGCTGCCCAATGGCAGCCGGCCAATCAAGCAAGATGTTGAGTATTAAACTTCGCCAAACTTAAAGCACTAGGTAAATTTGCCAAAGTATTTTGTTTTATTTGTTTGTTTGACGCGTTCGTTAATGATTACTGTTGCTTAATGATCAGATTGCAATGGTCAAATGAACTCGTTAATAGTCAACTAATAATAATGAACGTTGTCTGTCGCTCACTTACCAACGACTGAATTAACCGCTTTAATTTATTTTTATTAATTTCACGTTGTTCTACAATGAGGGTGCTGAATGCTAAGAGATTAAGCAAACAAAGTCAAGCGTAACTCAAATATAACATAAACATATACTAAACTCAACGTAAACATATCCCAAAGTTACAGAGTATGATATCCAACATTGGAAGTATTTTTGCGTATATCTAAAGAAGTCCGGTGGTAACATGTATAGGGAAAAGTTGTTCAGAATGTTGACCTTGGCAACATATTTTAAGATCATTGAAATCGGTGCTAAGGACCCTATTCTCAATAATTACGGAATTTTTTTCAATAAAAGGATTATCGTTTTAGTACGCGCCAGTATAATTTGTGCTTTCAATATATGTATAGTACTTTATTAGGTTTCCACAATAATAGTACCAACAGTAATTACAGCAAATTCTCCACAAGTGTCAGTCCGCAAGGAACCTAAACCTGACACTTGTAGAGTCAGGGACTACGTTTTCGAGCCTCGCGTCCGCCTTTGTAGTTTGCCGAACGTAGACAGGGACAGCGAATAAAAGATAAGGATGAAACGTGAGTCGAGGCAACCAAGCGATTTAAATACCAACTTTTTTAATTTTACGTTTTTTTATCCCGAAATTTTTCTTAACATACTGATGAGATTTTTCTGATGAAAATGACATCAAACACGACATAATTTGAACAACATTTACTTATTAACAAGTTCACTGTCACGCCAGATATTTCACTGTATTGAGATAAAACAGACGCCCTGTATTACATTACATAGAGTCGGCCTACCGTCTGACTGACACTTGTAGAATCGGCCCTACATTTGACTGACACTTGTAGAATCGGCCCTACATTTGACTGACACTTGTAGAATCGGCCCTACATTTGACTGACACTTGTAGAATCGGCCCTACATTTGACTGACACTTGTAGAATCGGCCCTACATTTGACTGACACTTGTAGAATCGGCCCTACATTTTTTTTTTACGTGGAGGTAGGCCGACATTAAATTAATTACTCAATAAGTATTAATAAGTAAATGTTATTCAAATTATATCGTGTTTGATCTCATTTTCATCAGAAAAATCTCACCAACA